TCCTAAAAAATATTGGATATCTCTTATCATTGTTGGGATCTTCCAATCCATAATAATTTGAATATTTTTAGGATCTATCATAAGTTCATCATTTGAAATGATGTATTCTAAGAAGTTACCTTGAGTAGTATGAAATACATATTTTTTTATCTTGATATAGAGTCCAATATTTCTTAATTTTTGTAACATATGACAAATATGAAGTTCATGTTCTTATATATCTTTAGAATAGATTAAGATATCGTCTAGATAATAGACAACAAAATCATCTAAAAATTCTTAAAAAACATCATTCATTAAATATTGGAAAGCTGCTAGTGCATTTATAAGTCCAAAAGGTATGACATTGTATTCAAAATATCCATACCTAATTCAAAACGTAATCTTCCATTCATCTCCCTCTTTCATGCATATTAGATTGTATGCTCTTTATAGATCTATTTTTATATAGATCTTAGCTTGATTCAATTAATCAAGAAATTTAGATATCAAAGATAGGAGATATCTATTTTTAATAGTAATTTTGTTGAATCTTTAATAATCTACATACATTTGTAATGATCCATTTTTTTTCTTTACAAATAAAATTAGAGCTCCTATTGGAGATTTCGAATGGCATATGAAGTTCTTGGCAAGATTTTCTTCAATGTATTCCTTGAATTTAGCCAACTCATTTTGTGATAAATTATAAATTGGTCCAAATAATAGTTGAGCTCCTTCTTGAAGGTCAATTGAATAATCATAGAGACAATACTTTAATAAAGTATGTACATTCTTCTTTTCAAATACATCTTTAAAATCTTAATATTCACTTGGAATACCACTTCAAGTCTTTCTAACATTAGAAATAGGTACAAAATAAATAACACAATGTAATCCTTCTTTTGTAATATATAAGAAAGCTATTATATCTATAAATATAAGTTTAATTATACTAAACTTATGACTTTCTACTTGATCAATTATATCCTTAATTATAATTTTTAAAAAAAAAAAATAAGACTACAAGAAATTCAATCTATTTTTGGATTATATTCTTTTAGCCATGATAAATCTAAAACGATTTGATTAGAGAGAGATCTAATAATATTAAATATTACAAAGCTACTATGATAATTAGTTGTTACTTCTATAGAAAGAATTTTATGAGTAACATTTTTTGAAGACAATGGACGACCATCTATGATTTTTATGTGAACATATTTAGTTTTCTTCACCAAAGGTATGTTATATCTTTTTGCAAATTCTTCATCTAAAAAACAAGCTAAGGCTCTTGAATCCAACAAGACAGAGGCTTTGTGATGTTTAGGTCTTAAAATAATATTTATTGTAAAACAAAGAAAGGATTTTGAGGAAAAAATAGGACTTTTAATAGGTATTGTAGAAGGTTCTAGTCACATGGTCCCTATTATAGCTAGACAAACTTATTTTCCAACATATTATCTTTATTGACAGCCATATTCTTTATTTTGTAGTTGTGTCACTTTTTTTGACAATATTGAGTAATATACTTAGGTATTCCACAATTTAAGTACAATCATTCTAAACAATGACAAATATTTTTTTACTCAATAAAAGATTTGAAATATATTACATGAATTTGTATATCTTCTACTTCCAAATGTGTGTGTTGAAAAGATGTTGGCATTGTCATTGAATTATAGTAACATTGAGGTGCACTTGTGTGACTTTTAGATTAAAATTTAAAAATTCAATTGTCACACCTCAATAAAAAGTCAATTTCTTGACTCAATGTTTAAAGATCAAGTAAGTTGAGCACCAATTATTTTATCTCATATTATAATTTGTAGGAAAATTGGCTAATAAACGTAACATTATCTTACTTGATATTAATTGTAAGTTGTCAAAATTGTGAAGCATATAATGCTACCAATTGATTGCATTGTCGTAAAATATCAATCTTATTAGTTGCAATAAAAATTACATTATGTTCTTTATACATAGATCAAAACTCTACTTAAAAAGCCTAGATTATTCAATATTGGATCTCGTCATTTAAAAAAAGATGAAAATCATGATAATGCTAAACTTGAAAGTAGTATACCAATGAATCTAACTTGTGATCTTAGAGTTGGAAGGAATAATCTACTTTTAATTAAGAAATGACAAAGCTTTGATATTGTAAGTATATTCTTCTTAATCAGTCAATGTTAAGAACTTGATGAAAATAAATAAACAAGTAAGTTTCTTTCAAAAAAATATAACAAAATAGAAATAAAGAAATATTTATATATTAAAAAAAAATTGAAATGGCTATTGCCAAAAGACAAGGAAACTAAAGACTCTTGAAAGTAGACTAGAAGCAAGAAAAAACTTGACAAGAGTGAAGAAGGCTTCATTCTTGCCTCTATATATACTATCAACCTAAGATCTATGTGATGACATTCTATAGGACCTCCAAAAATGTGTTGATTTTGTATGACATGTATCTTAATTTGTAAGGCAAGTTTTTTATATGGATGCCATATAGTTAGAGTATTCCACAAGCTACCAACACATGTAGCAAGTGGTTAACTTATTGACCAAGTTTGTAACCTATCAATCAATTACTAACACATGTAAAATCAAAATAGTATTTAATGAACTTCTTAGAAGCTTTTCTAAAAGATATTATGAAATTAATCTATTTTTACTTACTTCTACCTATTCATATTACGTAAGTAACAATTATAATAGATATATATCCATGATACAAAATATATCATTTATTGATAAAATAATCACTTTCTTAAAGTAGGTGCTTACATCTTTTTTTTTGTTTTTTTAAAGAACTACAAAAGAAAAATATTAGAGGATAAAATTAGATAGAAAATAATTATTATATTCAATTTATAACAAAAAACAAAGTTGTACCAATAAAAAGTAGATTCTTTTTTCTATATAGAAGTCTTATTGGAGATTCTTTAAATATATGTAAAAATAATTTAATTCTTAAGAGATTATTTTCTTTTAAACATTTCTTACTTATTGCAAAAATAATTCAAACTACTATTTTAATACTATATATTACAACTTATACAAATAACGTATCTAAAACCTTTTTACTATAAACTATGATTTATAGTTTTAAAAAGAATTCTATAATAGTATGGTGGAAGATGGTAACACCAATAAGAGTTGTTATACTTTTTATTAAGTAGTACTTTTAGAAAATCATTAGATAATAGAATGATTCTCTTAAACTTTTGTATAATATTAGTTTTGAATTATGAATATAGAACTTTGCACGATATTAGAGAAAATTTATTTCTTTCTTTCTTTCTTTTTAATTGAGTATTGCCTTGGAGGTATGTTGCATGTATAAATTGATAAAAAAAAATATATATATATATATACATATATATATATATATATATATATATATATATATATATATAGTAGTATAGATTTTTTAATTTTTAAAAATTTTCTTGTTATTATGAATTATATTTATAATGATAAAAATTGTAACTTTAGAAGATTAAAATGTAACATCCAAAGTTTAATTTATTTTTAATTAAACATCACTTTAAAAATAAATTTTATAATTTTATAAAGTAAACTAACTAATTTAAATTAAATATTTTTTGATACTTAAAATCATTTTTATTCTTATAATATTTCTAATTAATTAAAACACTATCATTATAAATTATATTTCAATAAAATTATTTTACAATAACTGATTTAATCTTATATTGATAAAAAAAATAAAAATAAATAAAAGAAGTTCTATCACAAGTATTTACATTTTTTTAGTTTTATTTTTAAATTTAAAATTTAAAAAAATTAAACTGTAAAAATAATTTATTATTTCTAATTAAAATCATTTGATTTAAAAATATTTAATTAAATATGATATCTTTTATAAATATTTTTTTATAATAACATAACATCTATTATAGTTTCTTTCATATAAATATATATATATATATATATATATTATATTTATTTTAAAATAAAACTAAAATAGATGTTATATAAAACTAAAATAGATGTTTTATTGTAGAAATCTATATTTAATAAAAAAATATTATGTTTAAATTTTTTTATTGTTTCTTATTCTAAAATAGATTTAAGAATATTAAAAACTTAAATTTGAGTTGGTAGTAGAATATACATGATTTAACAATTAGGCAAGTTCTTGCTTTAAATTATGTTCTTCAAACAACCACCATTAAAAAGATTATTAGAAACCATCTTAAGGACAATAATATTAATAAATAAGATTTATTTTAATTCCACTATTATTTTAATAACTATTAGTAAAAAATTATGTTCCCACTTGAAAATGAATGGTTTTTGGTTTTCTCACAAAGTCTTGCATGAATCAAAAAACATATTATGTTTTCTACAATATCCTTTGTGATATTATTAGAACTATTTTCTTCCCTCCTTGCCTTTTTTGTTCTATGAGGATTAATTTCTTCAAATAGAATTTATTATTTTGCAAGTCACCCACTAAATCCTAGAAGATTTTTGAAAACATATAATAACACAAATAAATTATGTAAAACAACATCACAGAAATATTAAAAAATATATAAAAAGAAATGATAAGATGGTTACACCATTAAAGAGAGTTTTATCAAAAATGATCTAAAACAATTTCTTTTTTCTTTTGTTAGGCCAAATTGTACAAAAATATCAATGGTTAATCAAATAATCAGTTTAAAACTCAAAATATAGTAAAATTTAAATTAAAAATCTTTCAATAAATTGATTGTAACATACGCTGTAAAAAAAAATCAAACAAAAAGAAAATAATTACTTCAATTAAACATTATCATTGTTGAGATTATTTAGTGTAGCTGTTTTTATTCTTTTATCATCTCAAATATTCATGCTATGCATAGGTGAATTAACTTTTACAAGCACATTAAAACTCGCAATTACTCAGTGACTAATAAGCATATAATATTGTAGATTGAAAATAATAATAATAATAATAATAATAATAATAAACACTAATTTCTTACAAATGAATTCACATTGATCAATCCCATTTAAAAATATATTTTAAAAAAAAAAACTCCACAAAATTCCGCATGGAATTTATGCCCATACAATATTCCCATTGGGCACGTTGTAACAATACATTCAACAACACTTAAAAAGAAATGTGGTTGCTTTCATTGATGGAACGAGTGTAACACTTCGACGCCGCTTGAACGAACAGAAGTCGCCACGGATGGACGAGAACGAGGGAGGCTACTTCTCATCCATCCATATATCCATCCACGTACCCGTCCGTCCGTCCGTTCGTCTATCCATCCATCCGTCCGTCCATGGAGGCGGTGGGCAGCCATGATGGGCAGCGGCACATGCGCCTCCTCGTCAGAACAAACTTGCTGCACGGGTGACTGTAAAGCAAGCAAGCAAACAGGACTTACTCACGCAGACAGACAGACAGACAGCCAGACGTGGGCTCAGCACTGGGAGTGAGGGAAGGAATGGAGGGAGGGACAGCAGCTGGCATTGCTCTGCAGAACGACAATTGAGGGACGAGAATGAGAGAGAGCCAAGCAAGAGAACAAGAGAAGCCAGCCAGATCAGGAAGTGAAGGAGGAAGAGGAAGAGGAAGAGGCGGGCGGGCGGGCGGGCGGGCGGTGCCTGGCTCCCTCTGGAGTAGTAGTACAACATCAAACACAACAACAGGTCTTTGTCGCACGCCAACCTCGCTCTCCCATCCATCAGGGGGTAGGGGGGAGGGCGAAATGGCTGCCTGGCACCATCACCCTCCCTACCCTCGTATGGGACAAAACGCTATCACCACAAGCAGGCACAGCAGGCTGCCCTCCCCCTCCCCCTCCCCCCATCATCCTCACCTCACCCCCAGTCATGAACCGTGGCTTCTTGGTAGAATGCCACTTTCTTCCGGAACCTGGAATGCTCGCCGTTGCTGAATTACATGTTTGGGTTTGAGAGCCTCATGAGGAAGAGTGCATGACTAACCTTGCACTGAACTGGGTTATTCTCCAAACCCTACATTGAAAATCCTAAACTGAAGTTTTGAATTGGAACCCTAGAAGGAGTGGTGAAGGGCAGGCCTCATTGTCATTGGGAGCAGGAGCAGGAGTAATCAGGAGAGGGCTGTAGTGAAGGGAATTTGGGCACAGAACTCTGGAGTCATGTGTGAGGAGAGTGGCGTGGAGTAGTAGTACCTGAGGCGTTGCCATCCAAAGTGTGTGGTGAGAGAGAGAGCCCGACATGTTCGGTTGTTGTGGTGGTGGTAGTATTCTGCACATTTTTTGCTGCCTGTGTGTATGGAATTTCAGGGGCCGAAAGCTGGACGGGGATGTTGACGCGGAGGTGCAGGACGACACACCACTGAATACAATTTGCCCCCGAGCTTGACATGAGTCACATTGAAGCAGACAGACTATCATGAGGATTTCTCCCGCTCTGTCCCCATGTGAGATAGTTTACACCTTGAATTCCAACTAACTTCTATCTCGCTGCCCCAGTACCTTCCGGTTGTACACCATGATCTGGCATTTTCCGCAGCTTGGAGCCTCTCACCCCCCAACAACAAAACAAAACAAATAAAATAAAATAAAACTAAGATAATGTGGCCTAAGCCTTGATGGATCTTTGTTGAATCTAAACAGCTTGTGTCACATGTCTTTACAAGGTTTTTTGAGTTTCGGTGGCTTCTGAAATAACTTTTGCTCCATGTTCAATATGCACACAAAAGAGATTTCTATGAGTTTGTGTGTCTGCAAATTCCATTATCATAAATTTTTGCGAATATTTATATGTTGGATTTATCAGGATTGAAATTAATAGATTTGACGAAGTCAGTATTTTTTGTTGATGCGTGATTGGAATAGTAATGGACACACTGATTCAATTTATGGAAAGCCTCTGTGAAATATTATTAAGGATTGTTGTGAAATTACAGTACACCTTGAAATCTTGTAATCTCAAGGTTGTGTTCTGAGTAATATGTTTTTTTTATCCTAAACATCAAATAATGATGATTTTTATTATGAAAGAACAAATGTATAAAGATTGGATTATCACTAAACCTGTCTCTGCAAATGTCTTTCAAATTTTAACATTTACAATCATCTGTATGCAAAGACCAAATTATTTAAAATACATCCATAAATCAACACAAAAATAAATAAATAAATAAATCATTAAATATAAATTTCATATTTCATGTTTGTGAATAAATATATAACTTTTATTATCATATAAACATGAAAATATTTTCAAAACACCATAATATTGGAATCATTCCACAAATTTTATGAAAAAAAGTACTTACACACTTTTCAAAATTACATCTGTTTGCATGGAGCCTTGGGAATCGAATGCGTGTGGTTGCACCGATCAATAGATTAACACATGATTGACCATGTAAGGATCAATTAACTCTCTATTGTGTTTGTATGGGATTTGAGATAAGAAATTGAGGCCACCAAGTCTTGGTACCAACAAAGGCCAAGGTTGACATAAGGCAGGCTTCAGAGTTTCTACACAGGATAAAATTCCAGCTCCTCAACATTGGTTCCCTCCATATGATTAGAAATCAAATTGCAACAGCATGGCTTGGCTGAACATTAATCGGCTTAGTCTGTAGTAGAACAGAAACAGCACCAACAGGTTTGCTCATTAAATAAATCAAGGTTTTGATAATAGATTCGAGGTAAAAGAGGCCACTACGAACAGCTTGTTCGAAGGTTCACGAGCAATCGTCGACACCAACGATAGCCTCCGCTCCATAACCCCTCCAACATAAATAAAAGAAGCAAAAACTGATGGTTCTTAAGAGTCGTCTATATCTAGAACCAACTTTGCACTCTCAAGACAGCAAGCTAGCATAGGGGTAAGACGGTAACAAAATTCCTACCCCTAAATAATGTGTACATGCTTTTTGTTCCAGATGGAAACAGCGAGGACTGAGGTTCGCTGTCCCCTACGACTGGGAGCAAGAGTACATCATTTGCAAAACTGTTGCAAGTCCCTTTTAATCGCAGATGGGTCACTTGCGTGGGAGGGTCAGCAGTCACGCCATGGTCTCATAAGAGAAATTTCCTGATCTGCAAAACGGTTTCAATGAGACCAACAGACTTATTAATTGTTTGCTAAATTTATAACAATTAATCTTCAACACAAAAATTTCATTAATTGACCAAGGTGAAGGGATCATTCCGATAATTTCCAAAATCCAATGTCGCAAGACGTCACAAGAAAAACCACAATCATAAAGAATTTTGAGTCTGATGTTTTTCATGTAATTCGTCTCGTTAAATGATAGAAATGCAATGTTATCAGCAGATCCCACTCAGTTGAGCAAAAAATAAAATTCATTTTTTCCTGTAGGCTATTAAAATATCCCTATATCTTCAATTTGTGTTGGTTCGGTTAGAGACTTATCTGATTCGCAACAAGTGTTAAACCCAAATCCCACGTGGATGTCAGGGAAAATACATTCTTTGAACAATTTTCCATTCATACTTAAGGAAAAAGCTGTGGCACAGAAGGGGAAGTGCATAAGGGAAGCAACGAGAACATAGGAGCGGAGAGCATACCAGATACAAAAAATTCATGGATATGTTTGTGTTGCAGCTTACAAAAGAGTGTGACGCGAGTTAAAGATGGATGATGGGCCACTGGCGTATGGTCTCAATGCCTGAAGCTCAGGATATTTCATATCGGGGCTATCCACTGTGCTGCCTCCCCCACGACTAGTGTTGTCGCCTCCTGAGTCAGCTTCTGTAACTGTGTTATGCTGCTGCATGAATTCCATTGGCGTGTGGCTGCCTTGTACAGTTTGGTTGCATCCACCATTGCCAGGATGTCCACAACCTTGATTGGGCTGATCAATTAACGACATAATTTGATGTCCAGACTCTAGCTGACCGTTCCCAGATAAATTGTTCAATGCGGATGTTCCATAAGGGTTAGACCCAGTTCGAGGGGCCTGTCCTGCCATACTTCCAAGCATCCACTCGGGACTGGCTATATCACGAGGTATCAAATTTTGGCTGGATGGAGAGAAAGCCTGAACATCATGCTCCTGCAACATACCTTCCAGTTAGCTTTCAGATGAAAAAGGTTCTCGATTTTATGATGCCAAAAGCATCCTAAAATATGGTGCATCTTTGTTCTCATTTTCCTTTCGGTAAGCACGATGATACGAATTAGCACGAAGCTTTTACTTTAGTTTGTGCATTATTTGTCGAAGTATCTTCTACCTGGGTGTTGGAGGAATTTGCTGAAGCTGAAGTAATACCAGACTTTGAATCATTGGACATGAGGTGCTGAAGATTCATCGCACTTTGCCTTCCAACCACGTGGGTCAAATCCGACCTTGGATTTAGGGGCCTCAACCAAGAAACCGGAGACTCCAATCCGTTATAAATCTGACCAGGAATTGTCTGGCTCCGTCCTCCACCTTGATGGCTCAGACCCAACTGACCTCCGAGGGATGAGAGAGAGAGATTTGGACCGGTCTTCCCAGTGCTGCTGCCGGTCTGTAGGCACAATCCAACTTCGTCAATCACTGCCAAATGGTATTACACGCCAATTCGAGGAAGTAGTGCTATTGCTGTGACAGAAATGCTTAGGTGCATTCATGACGACTGCATCCAGTGGTGATATTCTCAAATTTTTCACTACCAGGGAATGCCCGATTTGCAAAAGCATTCAACAGCATTCTAGGCTACATCTCACCTGTACGTGCAAATGTTGCTGATAGATGGAATGGTCATGACCGTGATTACCCGTGCCTCCTATCATTGTCATCTGCCGCTTGGCATTTTGGAGCATGAGGGGGACTGATGACATAGCAGAGAGCAAGGAATCTGAACCCGTCATAGCTTGAGAGGTCATCTGCATTTCAGAATGGGACGAATGCTGGTCGTCACAAGGTGCTCTTCCATATCCTTGACTAGAAGATCGCAAGTGCAAGTTATTACCAGCAGAGCCTGGCTTTTCATCAGAGTCTTCTAATGACACTGAGCTCGGTGAACTTCTACTCTTTAAAGGTATAATCAACGATTTTGAATCTGCAAATAAGCAGCACCCAAATTAAGTCAGAAGCCAACATTTTTGGGGAAAATGCAACCGAAGCACAAAAGATGAAATTATTCACAATTCTAGTTCCAGTAGTATTTATTATTGGACTGGTCCATCCATGCATGAAAGTATATTACATGTACTTCGAATGTTTGTCTTTATCGCCCCCCATATCAACAACATACAATGACGGTATGACCTGTTTCTAACCACTGGATGATATCAACGTCAACAACAGCCAGTAGTTTTATGGAAACAGGTTCACATATCCGAATAGAATCGAACAGTCGTAATTATCATGATAAATACAACCTCTTCGTAAAGAACATCACTCATGATCATATTCCATGTTCATGTAGAACGCATTACTTATTCACTCACCATTGGCATGGTTGCTACCTGAGAGATTGTCTTCTCCGTTCTTGATTCCAATACATTCAGCCGATGTTCCTCCAGGCGCAGATGCATACGGTTGTGGCTTTCTCCGCCGCCTGTTGTGGTCAGCGAGGCGCTTTCTGCAACTTCGTTTACCATCATCGAATTCTCCAAGCGAGTGGAATCTGAGCGATGCAGAAATCATCAAAAGAGGATTTCGTTACAATCGAGGCCAACAAAACTTCTTGTAGTCCGTTCTTCCAAGCATTTATGACAGAAGACCAAGCTTCATAATGTTCCAAGAGGACTAATGTGCCATATTTAGTTACTCACCTATTATTGATTAAGTGGCCAGGTGATGTTACAGATCCTGGAACTTGGAAACATTGAGAGTTTGCACGAATTATGGCATACCTGCTGCATTGTTGGCAAAACCTTTGAGTTTGGCCGCCAGCTACAACATTCGGCGCTTTTGAGTGAAGCTCACAAACTTTGTGGCGACGATGGTACTGTTTAGCTGTGCTGAGGTCGGATTTGCAACCTTCTGCTTGACACAAAGGGATATGAGGTCCAGGTGATCCGGCGCGATGTCGCTTTACCAGCCGATTAGTAGTGGTGTCTTCGGTGGAGAAGTACGTTCGCACGCCGAGGTTGAGCCCGATACGGGCATGCCCATCGTTGACCTTCGCAAAATACACTATTCGTTACTTTACAGATTTTTATATTTCACGGATATACACGGAAGGAATCCATGATATCAAATACTCATTCAATCCATTAGTTATAAAAAAGTAAAAATGAAAATAAAAATGAAAAATAAAACATACAATATTCATACATGCTGCATCAGTAATACACATCTAAATTGCATCAAAACGTTGCCGAAACGGAATATGCTCTCTTCTATACTTCAGATTCTTTTTTTCTTTTCTTTCCTTTTTTGTTGAATCTGTTAAAAGTATCATTCTTATCCGGTATTCTGTTACTTCAGGAACGTCCCAATAAAAACATCATTTCTGCCTTTAGGTCTTCTTGAAAGTCAATGTACACCTGACTACGATACCTGGACCGTTATTCTAACCCGTCCATCAAGGCAGGGGAAAGGATTGTAGTTTAAAAGAACAATAGCACTGTATCATGCTGTAATATATTTCATTTTAGTAATACCGTTAATTGCAGTATTCTGCACTGCAGTACCTCTTCTCTTTTGACATGATGATTGTGCATTCCAGCTGCAATAAACTCCCGTCGACGTTGATCATAACTGCGTATATCATTGTCAAGGCTTGAGCCACTCGTCGCTGCTAAGCCCGGAATACCAGATGGTCCTAGGGCACTATGGATGTTTGATGTCGAAAGCTGACCAGGTCCGTCTAAAGATCCATAGTGTCGGATCCCTGCAGAGCTGAAAATACCCATGGGGTTCTGTGTAAAGTTGGATGGTAGGCCGGCGGACAGCATGTTCATATTGTACGTAGTTCGGAAGCTAGACATTGTGCCTGTCAATCATAACCAGATGTGGCAGTTGGATGGTTCTTTAGTCCCTGACATCGAAAGTATCTCAAAAGATTCTGACTGTAATTCTAACTCATTAACACAACGTGGAATAAGAATTGAACATACACTTTTCTAGAAAGACACTTTAAGTGCCCAAAACCGAATAAGGTAATCATGTAAAAGCTCTCTAATTTCGCTCTTTTCTGCACAAGCACGATTTCGGAACCATAACGTGAAGGTTTAGTTCATGCACTCAGTTAGGATCAGTCGGGAAGAAGTTCGTCCAGGTTTACCTCCAGATATATGGTTTTTCAAGCAATCTCCGTCATGACTGCCGTCATCAGCTGACCCTCCACTCCCAGGGTGTTGTGCAAGAATCATTGGATCCCACTCCCACTCCTGGCGGTTAGCACTATTGTACGGGCGCGAGGCCTGATCAAAAGTGCTAACTGCGCCTGGGTTGTCCCAATTCTCTGTTGACCAGCTGAGGTCCCCTTGCTGCTCGTTGGTGTGTGTAGAAGAGTTCATTTCATACACCGCACTGGGAGAATAAAATACAGGTGCCTTCTTGAAAGCAAGAGACAGCTGATTGACAAGTTTGAGTGACAGAGGAGAGAGAACACGCCAAGTCCAGGCCTAGAATCACGTTGAAGTTAATGCTTAGATGATTATCTGAGAAGGTCAGTGTAACAGGTGAAATTGCTGCAGATTTGAATTGTCTCAATTACAGCCTAAAATGGTAAGGATGAATCTAAGAACAAACTACACTGGCTTTGAGTTTGACCCGTCACGTATAAGATCAAGGTCATCTACAACCACAACTACTTTAGGGCTACTCCAAAAAATGAGTCAATGATGAAGATTATATGTGGAGCATACCTTTTGTCGCTTCCAGGCGACGCTTGATGCAGATGCTGCCTTGGTGCCGGAGGAATCCAGGGGATGTCCGACTCTAAGAGACCTTACATGCGACTGGGTTGTTCCAGTATGAGACAATGAACCTTTACTTAATACAGGTCCAACTAAATTCAGCTCTTAATGCCGACGTCACCCAAAGATGTCCGGCAAACTGCTTGTAGAATCGTTCATTAAAGGACGAAAGTTGCGGCTACCCCACCTCTATAGTCGACACTTTCAGATTGCAGCATTTAGACCAAGCACAGGCTTACAGTGGAAATGGTTTCCACTGTATATGCACAACTTCTTAATGCAGGAGCACCAAACTTGATGACTTCGTTACCCACCTGTCTGAGTTAGAATCAACTGCTACGAAGTATCCTCTTCATCATCTGGGGATTGGCTTCTTGAATCATAAATTATTTACGATCTTTCCGGTCGAGATTCTTATCCAGACATCAAAAACCGATTCTACAGGTCTGATGGGGCTGGCTTCTGCACTATATTTAAAATTTCAGCTGGAAACAAAAGGAGCGAACAAGAATGCTGCTAGCCACCAGAAAGGGCTAGCTTATTGCACCAAGAGAGGACTTGCTAGTCCGTTGCATTAGTGTGCCCACTGCATAGGCATTAATCGCACTTCACCACACAGCGCGGAATCATTCATTCTCGAATGCATTGGAGCCAGTCCAGTAAATGCTCTCTTTTCCTACGCAAGCCGACAGGAAGTCTCCGTGGCCACACCTGCCACCATCAACAAAAGGCTGCAACTGATAAGCTTAGTATTAATTCAACTGCGATATTGATCTTTGCAGGATAGGAATCCCCGAGGACATAGTTAACAAACTTAGTAATGAAGAGGAGAAACAAATGTAACAAAGCATTCAAGGGCTCAAACGCCGATTCATCTGGTCTGCATGATACGAGATGATTCTAAGCTGGCAAAGCTCATATGTATGTATTCCAAAGCATTAATCTTATAAAGAGAACTAAGATTATGGTGCTGCACAGATTTTCAAACATTCAAAACTAGAGTCTCTTAGTCTATTGTATTCGCCCAACTACAACTCTTTTAGCACCTATTCATGTTTTTCCGCAGATCCAATGAAGTGCAGCCATTCAAAAATCTAGTGAAATCTCTGCGTTCACACAAGCCATTTCACGTGCACTCTAAAGCAATACATTACTGATCCTATTGCAGCAGAGTTTGTCATCTAGGTCATTTCAACGAGTACTTCGCGAGGCAAACGCAGTTATTAAACTGCTAAAATTCCTATTATGGTCAGTATTGCGCTGTTTTAAAAGATCATTCTTTCATGCCTGTATGTGAGTTGATCGCTACGTGGGATTAGGTTTGCTCTCACTATGCATCACTAAAATTCTGCGTCGCTGTTCAAGCTTCATTAGCAGGAATAAGAAAAGTACTGCAAAACCCTCTTACCCCCTCCCTCAAAAAAAAGGAATTTTACAACTAAATACTTTTCCAACTTACCTGCTCAGGCAGTCTGCGGTCCGGAACTCAGGGGGAATTGTTGGGGAGGTCCTTAAGCTGGGACTACAGTTTGGGGAAGAATTGTGAACACCCGCAGCAACTGGTTGAGCAGATATCAGAAGTTTGTATGAGAAACACGTACTCATATTCCACAATTACATATTAGAATGTGATCGTTGTTCGCTCATGTAATTGGTGAATGAGAAGATAAAAGTTTGTTGTCCGCCCTCACGGACTCCTGATCCTCACTTAAGAAAGTTAATAAACTCATATCCCTAGCGGCGTCTTCTTTCCTTCTCGTTGCAGCACCACACTGGAAAGTCTCCTAATCTCGTCTCTGCTTTAGCGTCCTGCATTTGTTCTCCACAAGAAGATGATAATTTTGAAACTACAATTGACTTTTGATGATATTCTAACGAATTGCCGAGAACGTGAGAGCCTTTTTCTTCTGATGATGCTGAAGTATTTTACCACCACTTGCAGCTATCGTTCGCTGTATGTCTAACGGAGGTGATGACCCAGTCTACCCTTCATGCGCAGACTTTGTGAACCCCTCCACTATTTGTGGTCATCTCGAATCATCTGTTGTTCCAGGAAATCACAAGGAAAAGCACCAAAATATTAGTCCCTTCAGAAAATTATCGAGTAATCTGTTCGTTAGATCAACATTAATGACCGTCACTGAGTACGTATTACTTTAAAGTCCTCTGACTAATCCGCAGTGTCTTCACCCTTCCTTCGCGCTTTCCACTCTAAACACTGCTCTCATCTGATCCTCTCCGATTACTCTCTCATTCCCCTCCTTCACATTCCCATCTGGCTCTAGCACATACGTGCTTCTGGAAAACCCTGGGAGTCACCTTCCCAGTTGATTGGCACAGCTGCGAGGGAGTGAACTCTAGTGAAAATTGATCTGAACAACAGTACCTAAGGAGTAATTTCGATTTGTCGACAATCCACAACCTTACTGTAATCTCAATTACCTTGACCTCTTAAGTTAAAAACTATGTGGTAAATGCTCAAGTACTACACTGGCGACACAAGTACTTACTACGAACTATGGAAACGACGAGATTAAGCCGACCAGAGCTTTCCAAAACCGAAAGTGGACCAGAATCTCTGAGCTCTCCGACATCGTCTTCAAAAGGTGCTAGCCTGCTGTCACGGTAAATCGTACAAATATAAGGTTAATACATAACTGACTGAATCAGTGTCACCGAGCATGATATTCGAACTGTGATTTTAGACCGTCCTTACTGTCGAAGTTACAATCGCTACAAAGTATGCGTCGAGGTTACGAAACGTTTTGAATATGATCGCTCAAACTTCATTAATTGTCGACTGAGTTAGTATCATATCTTCCACCTATACTGATTGTTGACCGCTACCTTCTCCCGAACTGTCTTGCGTCAACGAAAACATTGAAAAAGTCTCGTGCATTTTCTGCTGGGCAAGATTTCTCATGCTAGTCGATGAGAGACTGAAATCTTTCCATTCCATTGCACGGGGTGCCTACCTCTCCTAACTCGTTCAACCAGTCACACTGAGTTAGACATGATTGTTCTCCAACGATAACACGCTATGAATGACCTTCGTTTGTGCTTTTCCACCATTCACAGCAAAGCTCGAATATCCTTGTGCGTTATTTCACAGAGGACAGCAAGATTCGTTGATCGTTCTTCCAGGATACTTACCTTGTCAATCGAAACTTTCCGTTACTACGTACGTGTTATTTACAATTTGAAGATCGTTTCGTCCTCCTGGACTGACTCCGGGCGCTCAACGTGACTTGTAAGGCGAGGTAGAAAGTGTCGGCCCTCTACGCTGTAACAATATTCTTCCTTGCAACCCTTCGCTCATAACCGACCTGATCACAAATTGCGACCTACCCGCGCTGCACTTTCGCAGCTTCCCTTCTCTCGAAACTTCCTCCATGGATAACACCTCCATGCAGGCCCTTATTTTACAGGATTCTACGACAAGTATGCTTACACGGAAGGGCTCGCACGAAGCCAAACTCTCCATTACATCTGCATAGTGACCTTAGATGAAATCTACAGCCACTACAGCAGCTTCAGTGCAGTCAATTCTGCACCGGTAAATGATAAAGCCGAATTACTAACTTCAGTATGTAACCGACGTGAAATGCTTGACGAATATTTCGGAAGCCTTATTTTCGGTGTTCTAGCAACCTGAACAATCTTCCTCCTTTAAGGAACATCCACCAGCTTGCAAACACAGAAATATACCTCGAATTTAGCCTATGTAGAAATTTCTGACAACCCTCAGCTTCCACGAGGCTTGCTCAACATAAGCTTGTCAAATATGACAAGAACAAGCAGCACAATGTCAAGGCCGCATACAGCACCTAACTCGGGCGAGTTCAGATAAGTTCTCACTCAACCAGACACCTCAAACCAGTCCCGTAAACAACACTCATCTTGTGCGCAACTTTTCGAGCGATCTCGACCTTCGTTCTCGGACGACTTAATTTCGTCACCTGCAAGTTCCCTCATCTCCACCTTTCTGCACTGAATGCTCTATAGCCCATGCAAGCGCTCTCACGCTCCCTCCTTCCCCTCAAATACTCATCCAATCCAACCAGACGCAACCTTCCTCTATTGATCACCGAAGACGCAATGATCCTCCTTGTACCATACACTTTTCGCCCCGCCCCGCCCCTCTCACCTTCACCACCCCGTCCTTCGTCCACCAAAATCCCACTGAGAGAGTAGTACCTCTGATGCAAGCTCCCAGCTTGTCAGACACACGTCAAAGCTGCTGCACTGTTGCCAGTATCCCACCACCACGGTTGATCCTTTCTCAAGAGTAATTCAAACCCCTAGGTCATCACTAGTCATCAGACTAGATATTTCCTCTCTCACCTCAACCTCTCGCGCGCTCTCTCTCTCTCTCACACACAAACACACGCACTTATACAACACCTTGCAACACCACCACCTCTCCTGCCCCGATCGAAGCTGGACCAACCCCCTCACCCTCCTCACCTGCCAATGTGCGCGTGCGCAAAGGGAAGGAGCAACATATATGGCGCAAGTAACTGTGTCCCTCGACTCTCTCTCGCGCCCCCGCACTGATCTCTGCCCCCGCTACGCAACAACAACATGGCAACACACCGGGCCTCCAAAAACCATACAATAAACAACAAACAACGCTAAGGAAACAGTGGAATGGAGTGTGGGGCCGGTGCTCTCGTCCCGTTCCGGTCCTGTCCTGTCCGGGCTGCCTGCCTGCAATGCTGCTGCTGCTCCTTCTTACACCATCACTCTAGCTAGGCTAGGCTATCCTACGCTGGTCGGAACGCCCTAACACAGCTCGCCCATTGGCTCAGTCCCTTATTCTCTCCCCCCCCCCTCCCGGCTCTCTCGCTCCTTTCCCTTCCTTGCCTTCCTACCTCTGTCTGTCTGGCCTACTGTACTTCCCTCCCTCCCTCCCTGTTTGGCCTTTTAGTCCCTTGCTTCATATCCGGGACGTTCATTTAACATGTTACTGCGAGGGGCAGTCGCGGTAAAATTGACCAAATATCCGAGGGACCACGCTGTGAAGAAGAAACCACCACGGACCCTCCCCCCCCTCATCACCCCGCCCAGCCCAGCCCCCCGTTGGTTAGCTAGTTGGTTGGTTGGTTGGTTGGTCCTTCCTTCCTTCCTTCCTTCCTTCCTTCCTCCCCCCCCCCCCCCTCTCACGACGGGGGGGAGGTGACTGCCTGACTGTTCTGTTCTCCTCTTCTCTTCTCTCTCCTCTTTTCTATTCACTTTCACTCGCTCGCTCTCTCTCTCTCTCTCACTCTCTCTCGCTAAGACTGACTGGACTGGACTGACTGTCTAAGAGTGTACTCTGGCAAACGGCAACCCACCTAAGCCTCTCTCTGCCTGCAACTGCGTTCCCCGCAATCGCGCCTCTTGTTCGGCATCCCCATCCCCATCCCCCGGGGCCAAGCCCACTCCTCCACTCATGAGCTGCCATGCCCTCCCCCCCTCCCTGGTCCTCCGCTGCTGCTGCTGTGAGTAAGTAAGTGATACAGTAAGTGAGTGAGAAAGTGAGAAAGTAAGTGAGTAATCAAGACTGATCTTCTGTTGAGATCCTCCCTCCCTCCCTCCCTTTCCTTCCTTCCCTTTCCCCTTTCCCTTCGCTCGCTCCTGGTGTTTCAGCAAACCATTCAACCTGCAGAGCAAAGCAGTGCTCCCGCAGTCCTCCCCCCCAACCACACCATCGCACCTGGGATCATCTGCTCCCTCCCTCCCTCCTTCCTCATCATCAACCTCGCTGCTGCATCGAAGCACTCTCACTCACTCGCTCTCTCTCTTCACCGCGCCCCGTATTTCCACTGCGTGATTTCAGCCTTCAGCTTCCGATTCATCCTTCCGTGGCTGGCTGGTTAGAAAATTCCATTCAAGCAACATGTTTTCACTTAAAATATATATATATATATATATATATATAAACATACATGTATAGAGACTTCTAGAATATATGATGTGATTCTTAATTCACATGAATGAGCTTTATCATATACAATGTGTCACTAATCGGCTCTTGTGCATTCATGTAACAATGATAATCTATGATGAAGTAATTCACATTAGATGACATCTATCAGTTTTTTGTTGATAAATGCTGACCAAGTGAAAATCAAGTTAAAAATCACATCATTAGAATTGTAATAGACTTTTAGTCTTAAAATCCAAATCATCCCATGAATTTATTTTCTTAACATGAATTTTGTATGCAAACACAATAACAAAAATACAATATTGAGAGACATATGATATTAGATGAGATTTAAAACTGTCAGAACACACAGCAAGACTTTTGAATACTAAGGTAAGAGTCAAGGATTTGTGCTTTTTGCAATTTTCAGCTTTGGAAAATCAGTTTTATAAGTTTTACTTTTTGAATTTTGTAAAGGATTCTGGAAACAAATTCAGGAAATTAAGTTTATACCAGGCAAGCCATAAAGTTTTCTTATTTTTCTTTTTCCAAAACCATTGACATTTTCAAATGAAAGAACATTGTTTTTTTCCATTTCACACTTTCAACCAACTACACAATAAATAAATAAAATTTTAAATTTTGCACAAGGCAAAGGATTTTCAAGCAATTCCTTGCCAACAGACTTCAACTACTGACCACATGTGAATGAACAAGTATGCATGTGTGTGAGATGGATCAGTTCAATCTGGCAATGCTGATCTAGGCATGACATATGCTCTATAAATTAATTGCAATACAGGATACCAAGAGGTTGAAATATTCCAAAATAAACAAATAAATAAACAAAAACAAACTAACTATTGAATAAATAAATAAAAATAACTACATATGTTTATTCTTCTTTCATTTTTATTAACTTTACATATCTGTATGTGTGTAATTCAGATATGTTCTCAGAAATCTTATTTTATTGTATTCTCATTCTGCATTACAGTGGCATAACTTGTCATTCTTTCCTTTTCTTTTAATATTTACATTTCCTTTTTTATTGGGTCGTTCTTGTTATTTGCAGCACCATTATTGCTCAATGAAAGGAGAAACAAGAATCAGAAGGATGGATACTCTGGAAAAAGGAAAAGGAAAATAAAATAAAACAAAATAAAAACTACAGAGACATAGAAAGAGAATGTGTGTGATGGGATGGCACTCAGCCAGCAAGCCCATATAATCCTCTTGCAATTACACACACACACACATACACATATATATAAATATATATATATATATATATATATATTCCCTCCTAACTAACTCTAATACCATGGCAAGTCTAATCCCAACTTCTGGTCTCAAGGACTCTCATCACCACCTTTGAAATGGGCAAGCCATACCACCAATCTGATTTTGCCAACATGGGTGCATTCCCTGCTTGACCACAGGCCCGCATGAAGTTAGGTCATAGCAGTTTTCCCTTTGTATTTTGTTCAATCTGATCTAATCTTTGCTTTGCATTCTTTCCTGCAATTACTCCTCCTCTAGTAACTTCTTCAATGCACTGGTGCATCATCTCTAAATCATACAGTCTCCACAACCAAGATCCTGAAGCTGCACATAATCTCAGGGATGGGTCAGACTCAGAGACACACTGAGACTGGGGTGGGGGGAGAGCAACATGGATTCTGTTTTGGGAGCCAAATACGAGAATGAGAACATGTATTCAAAGGGAAAGGCAGGCAGACACAGCCTCTCTCTCTCTCTCTCTCATTCTCACTCACTCATTCAGTGCAAAAAGTAAGAGGAGGAGCTTCCTTCCTGAAATCTCTGCCAATAAAAAAGAGCACAAGAGTTGCTTTAAGAACAAGGACAAAGGGATGGTAATGTCTCTCTGTGTGTATGTGTGTGTGTGTATGTGAATCTGTCTGTCTGGGGGGTGGGGGGGGGGGGACTTTTCTTCTGCCTTTCTTCCCTTTTGCATTCATTTAGGGTTTTCCCTGTCAAATGGCCCACAACTCTGCTGCTTTGACTGCAACAGGGTCCTTGGACAAAAACTGACGCACCTTCTTGACGTGGCACACTCTTGTGGTTGTGGGTCTCTGGCTCCTGAATTCTGCTCTTGCAGGAGAGAGTATTTCCACACAGAGGGGAGGGGAGGGGAGGGGAGGGGGTGCTAATGGGGCCAAGCCTTTGATGTGGCAAGTGTTACATGTGGCTGCCAAAGTAGTGTCACACCATCCCTTTTTTCTGACTTTATTTATGTATTCATTTATTTGTATGTGATGTTTGTGTAACTGAATAAGCAGAAAAATCTAGAATGACTTTGTGAGCATAGCTTTTAAATTATATTAAAAAATAAAACTAAAAAGTGTTTCATTTTTTAAAAATAAATATAGATTTCAGTGAGGAGATAAAATTGAAAATTGTTTTTACTTAATAATGTTGTGTATGTATATGTTTTAAATCCATGCCCTAAATAATTGTTTGATAACACTATTCTACTTAACCTCATCTTTGAAACATAATCAGGTATATATACATGCATGTGTATAGTTCTTGAAACATTGACAAAGGTACCCACACAACACATGTGAATACAGCAAAAAAAACAAAAAAACAAAAAAAACAAATTAGACATATTTGGTGAGATTTAAAAATTTTCAGCATGCCTATCATTTTTCAGAAAATTCAACTATTTATAATAAATCTAAAATGATTTGAATTCATATATTTTTCAATAGTCAATTGAATTTTAAAATTTTAACAAATATTTTGAAGATAAAACATTTTGGGACAAAAGTCTAAATGAAAAACTCATCAATGCAATGTTCCATGTGGCACCACAATTATTGTTGCAAAAGAGAGTAAACAATTCTTAAAACAAAAAAATAAATAAAATAAAAAATAAATAGAAAAGAGAATCCTGAGTATATAAAGGCATGCAATGTTTTCTGCTACAAAAGTATTCAAACTACAAATATGATTTAAAAAACAATGAAGGGGACAGAAAAGTTATCAAACAAATTAATGATGATTAGCAATAACCATGTGTTGTGTACAGCCTTTGAATACAAACAAGTCATCTTGGCAAAATTCTTTCAACACAAAGTTTATTTTTCTCAATTACTCTATGATTTTTAAAGGATTTTCTAATTGATCATCTGAATACCACAAAATTTCAGAATGGCTTATTGACACTTATTGCACAATAAACACACAACTTCTTTTGTTTCTTTTCTTTTTTGGCATTATGACTTAGGTCATGAAATATCAAAATAAAATAAAATAAAATGTATAGAAAATTTAAGAACATAATAACATAAAAACACAAAAAAATGTAAAATGCTAAGAATCTAGAGGCAAAAAAAAGCACATCACAGAATCAGATGTAACCATTGGCTTACAAGTGAAGGGAACAACAATTCATTGTCTGAATAAGGCCAACAAATTTTTCCCACCCCATGTTAGTTCAAGTCACTTTTAGGGCATAACCCACAGGGTAAGCTTGATTGCAATCACCCTTTTCTTTTTCTATCCAAATGTATTTAATCCACTTAAATCCTTGAAATGAAAATTCTTCCGTTTATTTAAGGTAAAACGTGAAAATCTACAAAATAAATTCAAAAATAAAATAAATATACATTGATTTTTTCTGAAGCAAACAATGCAACGGCTGCGACGGGTTGACTCCAATATGATAGGGTGCTCTCTCAGACACATTTACAGCACCACAATGATACCCTGGCATAAATAGTACTAAACCAACTCTACAGTACTGGGCTCAGTTCGAGGTTCATGTGGCAAATGAGATCTCTGTCCAGAATGTTCCACTCGCAAACGTTCCCCGTGGTTCCCCTAC